CCCTTCATTCCTTACGCGAACCCCCGTATGCACAGAGACAATACCAACGAAGGGATCCTCTGGAAGTAGGGGAAGGGAATTTCCTTATGCAGAAGGGGGGGGGGATCGAGCGGGGAAACTATTTCGCTTCCGCTTTTCTTGGTAGATACTCTTCTTTTCTCATCTTTTGATAGCTACTTGCCTCCAGCGTGTCATCGGCAACCATTTAGTCGTTGCGGAATGCCGTCTGTTGCGATTGCGCTCGGCGCATTAAAAAAAACATTCCTTACGCACAATATATTCCTGCTGTTTTCATAGATATTGCTCACTTTCTCTAATGCTGCCTGCTGCCCATTTCAGCGTAAAACTGTTCAACATTGAAAGTAAAAATGTCTCTACAGTGAATGAAGAGGTCATGCTGCCGAAAAAAAAGGGGGAGGATGCTGCGGACATTCAAACCAGCATTTCTACACATAAAAGAAGCTGCTAATCGTACCAGCTTTTCATGGAGGCTGTAGCTGTTAGCAACATACCGTCCATTCCCCCAAGGGAATGATCCCCAGCGGCCATCCCTGCTATGCACGAGGGGAACGCTGGGGAGGGGATCACTTCCCTGGGGATCTTTACTCAGAAATAGGCAAATCTGCTACTTTCTAGATTTTTTCAAGGCAGCTTATATTAAAATAACAAGAAAACGGCAACATATCATGAAATATGAAAGTTACAATGTGTTTAATTAGCCTATATGACTAAAATTATCATGTCGTATAAAAATGCGCAGTTTTCGTGAATGTCAAGAACCCCTACAAATATTCGAAATTGGCAGCCATTATATGCTCGGGTTTCTTCTCAAGAAGTGAATACAGAAAAGGGAGATAAGATTGCAAGCTGCAGATCGCCGAAGAGAAATCCAGCGTTTGAAGAAAATCCTTTCATCAAATGGAACGAAAGGCTTTGTAATATCTGATTGAAAGCAGAATATTCGCTCTCTGGCATGATCTACACCATCGAACCCCTACTCCGCTGCAGGGATGTCAATCCCCTCCCCCGCGCTGTTGAGCTACATTCGTGCATAAGGGGAGGGGAAGGGAAGGAATACCGCTGGGGTTCGCCCGATCGATACCCCTGAAATCAATTACCGAATTTGTTGCAGCGAAACAGTACCGCAAAAAATGGCTAGCAATCGTTAAAAAGAGACCACCGAAATTACAAAACTGCACACTCATGAATACTTTTATGAGAGAAGCCATAACATAATTGCTAGGAAACCATAACATGAATAGAATCATTACTTCAAAAATTAACATTATTACTACGAAAGCACATAACGAGTATAGCAAAGCCTGAGCCAGTGATAGGGAAAAAAGAAGAGACCGACGGAGAGAGATACAGTGCGAGGGGTGAGAGTAGAAAAAAAAGAAGACGGAGAAAAGGAACAAAGGCACTCGAAATCCCTATTTATATACATTTCATTCCAAAAGCCATTCTAGTGCACAAAAACTGGCTGAAAATAGCTTTTTTGGCGAGGTCTTCTGGTAGCCGTGAGCTAGATGCGACTACCGCAGTGACACCATCCCCGCTGTAGGTGCAAGGGAGGGGATCGCTCCCCTCCCCTCTGGTATAGCGGGGTTCAGAGAAGGGGATTGTTCCCCTGGGGATCCAGCTCCCCTCCCCTCTCCAGCGGGGATGTACTGCATAAGGGGCTTTAGAAAACAGGTAGAGCATACTTTGTGTACTCAGACATCGCTGGGGGCAGGCGGGCACCCGAAAAATAGATTGCTGATCTCTCGCACCCGCTCGCGGATTTTTTGGAAAGCAATCAGGACTTTTCGGAAGACCGCTTGCTGAGTCAGCGGATTTTTGAAAGACCGCCTGTTGATTTTTTTTTCGCTCTATCTTTTGCAGATATATTGCTGAATCTCTGAGGAGAGAACTCAGCAAGCGGTCTTCCGAAAAGTCCTGATTGCTTTCCAAAAAATCCGCGAGCGGGGTGCGAGAGATCAGCAATCTATTTTTCCGTGCCCGCCTGCCCCCGGCGATTGTCTGAGTAGATGCACGCCAAACATTCAGTAACATAATAGAATCACCATTAACGTACGTGAGCGGTGCCTTCGCTTCATCCGCCTCTTTTTCATTTCATTTGGTCGAACAAAACACGGGACTGCAATTTTCCAAATAGTCAACGGTATTTTGCTTCATTGAACTGTTTACCGTCGCAGTTATCGACGATGTTTTACTGGATCAATTTAACTCTGATGACATAAGCAGCATTTTTCCTCCAAAAATTATAGATTAGACTCAAGACTCAAGAGTACAAAAATGAGCTCAGCCATTTGCGCATGCCATCAGAGAAACGAACTTTGCCAGTTCACATTATCGTTTATAGCGGCAAGATAATTGATTAGTTCCCAAAATTTCATGAGGGTTTCTCGAGCTGGGATTCATGAGATCAAAGTGTACAAGATCTCCTAGCTTCTTGAGCAGCAAAACCTTAATCCTGATTTTAACCTGGAGTGCGAAAAGTTGAGAGAAACACAAGTACAAACACACATGGCACTAAGTGTGGCAGAGAAGATGACTACCTCTATACCAGAACGCTGTTTTACGCAGTTGTTTGTGTTTTGAGTGCAACAGTTGCAGCTACGCCTTCAAAACGAAGTAAATCGTGTTTGAAAATCTCTGAATTACACAAGGTTATTTGAGTTCGCTAATCTCAAAGTTCGCTGAAAGTTGTTGTGTGCATAGCTGGGAAATTCTGTAAGATTTTTTTTTGAGAGCGACACATTTGAAATTTATTGCTATGTTTTCTCTTTAGAAACCGCTTTTACCTTGAGTCCATACGACCCCCACTTCTCAGCCCTCCCTCTCTCAGATGCGACCCCACCCCTAAAGCGAGCGTGCCACTCTCCGCTTCCTCCCCCCTCCCCTTCAATAACACAAGAAAGACTGCCGAGGGCGGTCTAATATCGCCCCAAAAAGACTGCTGAAAAGTCAGTTACGAAAAAGACGCCGATTTTGAGTTTGGACATCCGACGTCAGAGCAATTAGTTTGACATTTATGCTGGATACACCGCCATAGTGGTCTTCTTCCCAATTATTATGGAGAATAGTAGCACCATGGTAGCTGAGTTGCAAACGTGCTGAAATCTCCATCATAGTTGTACAGAAGAACTCCAGTTTCAATTAGAACTGCAAATTTAAGTTCAGACGGTCCATACCGGCGCTTAGAGTTTCTGCAAAGACTTTAAGAGAGCTATTAACGGTTGATAGTGCGCACACAAGACCTGCTAGCTGCTAATGATATGCAAGATGCAAACCCGCTCTGCCTAATGATACGTAAGATGCACTTTTTGAGATAATGCGCTTTGATTCTGAAGTCGTCCAAAAAGCCAGCTCAGTTTTCACAACAAGCCTAAAAAATTCTTAGTAGACAGCAGGCAAGGTGCTGCTACTTGATAGGCAGGGGTCTTGTAGGAGGAATGTGCATTGTCGTCTATTTATCGTTGATCAAGAAAAGAAGTTGTAAAGTATAATGAGAGTGTTACATTGTTATTGGACCACCCTCAACAGATCAAATGTTGCGAAAAAACATGAGCAATTTGGCATCATTCGTGCAAAGTAATTACTAGTCAGGGCCCGGCGGGGGTGGCGCTTTCACAAGCTGGATATCGTTTTTGGCCCGAGAAAATCGTATTTTGGGGTCCGGGGCGGAGCCCCGGACCCCAAAACACGACTTCCCCTTTGTTTACCGATAAACAATGCACATATCATTTTTTATTCATCATTCCTTGTTGATGCTATTGTCCTATGAAGTTAGATTCCAGCAATGTGAAGATTCTGTGCTCCGATCGCTAGCCTGCCCGCAGGCGGGAATTCAAATCGCAATTCTTGTAAGAGGAAAACAACAAAATAGGCTCGTTTTCAATGCACAAGTAACGATATGGCACCAAATTTGCTGTGTAGTTGGAGGACCATGAGCACAAAAAAAGTATGAAGAATTACGAGAAACTTATATGAATTTAAAAAATGTTAAGTGTTTTTCGAAATTAGGTGGCTCCTGCGCCACCTGGGAGCCACCTGAGGTGGCTCCCTGCTTCCCTTCACATAATTTCCCGGATTTCTTTACATGAATGTGGTCTAGGTCGAGAGTATTACTATATGTTCAAATCCGCTTCCAAAACCACCAAGGCACCGCTTCGATACAGCCCCAAAAGGGTTCACAGGCCTCGGAAAGCGCGCTCCAATCGCAATCGGTTATTGTAAATTGTAAAGTTCCGCAGCTGAATAATAAATGATTAGTATCTTAGATATGTAAACGTCAAAGTTTGTGCAAATCTTGACCCTACGTTTTTTTTATAGATTCCTTTGCGGATGAACCCATTGAGCCGAAACCTTGATGGCCCGGGCTGGACCAGGAAAGCCAGGTAGTACTACTATAATAAGCGCTGAGGCCGCCCATCTTATTATTTGTGTATATCTGTTTGTGAGAGACTTACGGGGTCAAAAATAGGGTCAAAGGGGAAGTCGTAAGAAATTTGCTTCAAAGGGGATATCGTTTTCAAAATTCTGAAATGCCACCTCATGCCCTGTTACTAGTGCAATGAGAAGTCAAGATTAAGTTTGATTTATGGTCAAGCGAAAGCGAAGAACAATTCAAAACAAATCGACAAAAGTCTCTATATTGTAAAGCATGAGCGAGCTCCGTCTCACTTTATTTGATAATCTGTCTCATCCACATCTTTCACTGCTTCATATTTTTAAATAAAAATTAGCAAAATTTTAGAAAATCAATGATAAGTTATGAAAAGAAGGTTTACTAGGTAATACTAGTAATGTGCTGATTATACCTTTCGAATTGATGACGTTTTCATAAAAAACGGAAATAAATTAGCTCCGGAAAGTTCTGCCTTTTACGATAAAGAGGAGCTGCTTTGGCTCAGCGAGGTATAACTATTCTTTTTTTCTTGCAAAAACGACCTTTCAGTAAACGTAGAAAAGCAAAAGTGCTACGAAATTTACAGGCCTGGAGCTGCGATTTGGAAAGAAAAGCCTTAGACGCTGTCAAGTGTAGTTGGGGTGAACCCCCAGATAATGGTCATGGTTTTGCTTTTGTGAGGTATGTTTTGGCAAAAATTTTAAGTCAAACATGTGCGCTTTTGGTTTGCAATTATTAGGTTGACCCAAAGTCATATCATATCGGCTAAATCGGCCTTAGCTCAGTTTTTAAATTGTTAATAAAGTAACGCAAGTTCTGTAAAGTGACCTTCGAAAAATTGCAAAAGGTTTGGTGAAGTTTGCCGTCAAAACTCAAAAATTTTTAAATGTCATGAATCGGTCCAAAAAAATTCTAAGGATCTCTAACTTGCTCAGGTATATAATCCCTCAACAGACATTCGCGTTTACATTTGCTGTATATTTTCATGGCCAGAAATTGGAACAAAAAATAGCCCAAAATCAAAACCCAGAAAATGCTGTTTTTTGGATTTTGTGCTAAATTCGTTATTTCTAAAGAAGTAAAGCACATAGAAGGCTGAAATTTGAGTAGTACTCATAAAGGTTTATACTATAGATCTTTATATGTAAAGACAACCCAGGTTAGCTTTTACGAATAAATGCAACTTTTTAGTTTCTCAATTTTTAGCAATAGAAAATTACAGCAACTGTACGTATGGATGTCCGGTGTGGAAAGTATTTAATGGAACAAGTTAGAATTTCTAGAAGTTGGGGTTTTTTAGAAAGACTAATTCTTTTTCTTGATTTTTTGGGCAATTGAATTTTTCTACATTTCGGATTTAAACCTTGTGTGAATTTTACAGCTGATGTGTATGTTTGAAAGTCAGCCTGTAGAGATTGCTTTTCTATTTCGAAAGGGTACCCCCGATTACCACGAGAAATCTACAAAGAAATGACTTGTGACAGGGAATCAAACAAGAAGACTTATGGGACATCCTATCAAAATACCTTTACTGAAAGCCAGTTAGAAATAATTGGCTATTACAAGAACTGGTTGCGAAACACACGCATGGATTTTTTTTACTATAGAGTCTCGTTCATTTAGCGAATACGATTACGAAGATAGCATGTCGGACATAGTTCGTGCGCTGGTCTCCAAAATTGATTATTCAAATTTCACACTGGTCAACTACGAAGGAGTAGTATATTCGGGTTCGAGCTCTGAGCGTCTCATGAAAGGCTATGCTAATGTATCGAATAAATCAATTTGACACGCCTCTCTTGATTACGTCATTGTAGCTAATGCGCTCCACGGCCACGAAGATTGGTTGCGTGCACAAAATCTGCTACGATTTTGGAACTCCGATCTTTAATTTCTATTGTATCACCGACCAACCGTAAGTTTTCAAAAATGCTGAAATTCTTGGACAGTTGCAGGTCATATTGCTTCTGTTGTAATTGATGTATCATATTTACGAAATCAGCGTGTTTCTTTGATCAAGGAAAGCTTGGGAAATCCATTCAATTTATTACTCTCTATGTTCTGCCATACCTACACCCTCTATATTGTTATAAATGGTAGTATTTACACTCGAAACTAACACATGCTCGGAGATTTTTGAAAAGGAGTAACACATATGACGCTAGCTTCCTTGCGCCTTTCTCATAGCTCACAACTTGGATCGCTGTTAATTTATTAGATCACATTTGGTAACCTTGAAAAGCTGATGCAAGCTGGAAAAGTGGCAGACATGGTGTCAAAGAATACATGCACACTGTTTGTATCAGGTCTTCTCATTTCTGAATAGGTTGCAAAGTACGTTCGATAGAGCAAAGCAAGTACTATAAACGGCGATCTTGCTTTCGCGCAGCCTTGATCCACCTCAAGTCCGAAGCCAGAAACTAAAAAATTCAAGTGTCCGAAAAATCTTCAAAAAACGTAACTCCCTCCAAAAAATCATATAAAAGTTCTTACTTGCTCAAATATATACTATCCACATAAGACATCTATATGCGCCGTTTCCGTGTTTCATCCTCGATTTGAAATCAAGAAAACGAAGATTTTCATGCTTTCGCCAAAGTAATGCTGTGCATATGCTACTAGTATGAAGAAGTGAAAACGCAAATTTTCACCCTCCACAAGTGCCAGTGTTTGAGAAATGACGTATGATGTTTCCCTTAGGCGGGTGATTTACGCTAAAAATCATATTTCTCGAAAAACAGAGCTTGTGGAGGGTGGAAATTTGTGTTTTCACTTCTACACACTAGTAGCATATGTGGGGGGGGGGGGGGACTGCACAACATTACTTTGGCAAAAACATTGAGAATTTCGTTTTCTTGATTTTTAATTGAGGAAGAAAAACAGAAATGGCATATATAGTTGCCTTATGCGGATTGTATATATGTGAGCCAGTTAGAATTTTTATGGATTTTTGGACGAAGTTGCGATTTTTTTCGATTTTTCGAGCACTTGAATCTTTTTGGTTTCTGGCTTCAAACTTGAGGTGGACCAAAGCTGGTGCAAAAGCAGGATCACCATTTTGTAGAGCTTGCTTTGCTCTCTCGAAAGATACTTTGCCACTTATTTATAAGAAGTGACTTATTGGGGTTGAAATTCAAAACGGACAGAATTTATGGGACAACCTGATAGCTGAAAAACTCTCTTGTACCCATGGCTTTCGTTAATTTTTAAGTAAAAATTGGTAAAGCTGGCTTCAGCACATCATTAAGCGAATTACCGTTTCCCTGCTTTCTTTGTGGTTACCTATAATTTTCAGAGGGTTCTAAGCCATTACAGGCCACAAATGACCTCAGAAAGCGGAAATAAGAATTTTCAAACTGGGCCAACAAGGTTCCGATTACGTTATTTGCGCATACTAAATACATTCGTTTGCAACTTATCAAAAATAAACAATAACTACTATTTTCACAATGCATCACCAAAATCTGACTTTATTAGAAAGCTAAACAAACACAAAACGTTATGCGTTGGAGCAGCATGCGTGAAAACTCTACTACATTTCCGATCATTTTCAATTTTCTAAAGACCTATTTCAGTGCTTTGTGCGCTGAAAATTTCTATCATATTTTAAGTACTAAAAGGATTGATAATTTGTTCCATACTGTAAGTCTTAAATGAAGCTGCGAGTAAATGTTATCATTTTTGTTATTATTTTCGGTCATATAGTAAGAGTATTATAAATATGATTTTGAAGGCCGATTCCAACTTGTAGTGCAGCGTAAGCAAGACTGTCTAAGCCAAAAAATTTCAAATGACAGAGTGACAAAGATGGTCACCGCTGTGATAACAACAGCAATGATAATTCGTCGGCGTACTCAATCTATACGGTATTTGCTTTGCACAGAGATATTCAAGGATAATTTTGCAAATAACGCAGTTTGTTGTTTAGAATTACTTTACTGAATTGTTGCAGTGATATAAAGGAGGGAGATAAAATATACGAGACTGGTAGCGGTAGCTGTGATTGTGCTGATTTCTGTGATTCAACCGGTTTATGCACAGTTTCAAGACCTGCTCCAACTTGCATTGAAGCAATATTCCCCAAGCCAACTATTGAAGGTACGTGCAGTAATTATGTAGTGCAATCATTCTTCATTCGTTCGTTTCAAGATGCTCAAGTCTTGTTTTCTTGTATCATTAATCGATTACTCTAATAATAAAAATAGCCGTTCTACAGCAAACTTGCTGCTGACATCAAATCACTAAATTCAATACAGAAATTTTGCAAGTTTAGACCCAGACACCATTTGCGCTCATGGTGATATGACCGATGCACTCAGAATACTTATGATGGATATGCACAATGTACGAAGGTATGTGAAGCTTTTACATGCCTAGAAATGTTCTATATTTCACGGGCCATAAAGCAAAGATGCGCAATGTGTGTAGTCATTATCTGAGAATTTTTTTCTCATAAAAAGCTACAAATATTTAGTGCGCTTTTGGTTTTTTTGCGTCGCGACAGTCGCGATAATATAAGGATTGAGCTTCTTTTCCAAATTTAAAGGGTCGAATGGAAAAATGCTTCTCTAACAGTAGTAAGGTGAGTTGCCGCAAAAAATAATGAAAAAATCTCCGGGTCGAAAATAAGCGAAGCCTCAGCCCACTTGGTCCACATGGGCATTTAGTTTTATATAGATAGAGATTATGTCATCGCACTCCTGCAGTGACAATATGATCAAGTATGGAGCATAAGGTACATGAAACTTAGTTGGTAAGAAGTAATTTGAAAATTTCGCAAATGTGGAAAAAATCAGTTTTGGAATTGGTAAAAAACACTCAAAATAGAAAAAAAAACTCAAAATTCGGACCCACTCTGAAAAGCTCTGAAAGTAAAGGCTGCTGCATGACGAAGGCGCAATGGCGATATTAGTTGAGCGTGCGCGAACGCGACGCGCGCATACCCTCACCGTTGTAGATCCCGCACCTCATGCGCTCTGCAGCTAATAAGGCCGTGTTCGCGCTCGAAGATATTGCGCTTTCGTCATGCAGCAGCCTATACAATACCTCTCATAATTCGTGTATCTCGCTTCAGAATGGACAAATTCTGAATTCGAGGACACCGTTCGATTTAGTTCGGAAAGACGCACCATCTATTTATAGATTTCTAGCAGGATATGATAGGTATACTCTACACGTAATTTTGCGCTCAATTTTGTAGTTTTTTGCTTGGTTGAATTGTTCAGTGTGCTCACAACAGTATTGTCATTGATTTGTCGCTGATGACATATAGAAAGTATACTTTAGGTGTATGGTAGAGAGTCAGCTTGATCGAATTTGCTCTAAAATCTGCTTAAGATTACAACACCGCTCACAAAACGTGCAAAATTTCCTTAAACTTCGCGAAATTTTGGGATTTCCGACAGAGACCGCGATAATCCGGGAAATTCGCGACATTCCAGGATCCGCGGAATCATGGGAATCACGCAGAATACGAAAGCCATAAATTCCTTCTTAATAAATATGTTCTAAATCCGAAAGCAGCATTGTGTTTAGATCGTCGAGGCAAATCTTTCGATGTACAGCATGCCCTCGATATTACTTTTTCAGTTTTCTCGAATTTTTTCTGTGGAGGTCGTTTCGCAAGGATGTAACGCAGCGTCTGTAACATAAAAGATTCTAGTAAGCACTATCGATAGTACTACTCTTGTAGGTTGCCATGCGTTAGTCGCTGCGGACCGTTCCAAAAGAGACAGAAGCATTGGTGAATTTTGGAAAAATCACGCGTTTCTAAATTCTACTCGCCGTAACTTCCTTCGAAATGAATGTATTCCGTATCCGAGGAAAGCTTTATGCTCACTGCTCAATTCACCAAGGCAAATCTTTCGATGTACAGCATGTCCTTGTTATCCTGATTTCAGTATTTTCAAATTTTTCTGTGGACGTCTTTTCGCAAACTCAGACAATCGGCGGGGTCAGGCGGGCACCGGAAAATAGATGGCTGATTTCTCGAATCCCGCTCGCGGATTTTTTGAGAGGCAATCAGGACTTTTCGGAACGTTGCTTGCTGAATTATCGATTCCTCAGAGATTCAGCAAAATGTCTGCAAAAAGTAAGAGCAAAAAAAGATTAAAAAGGCGGTCTCTCTTAAACTCGCTAACTATTTTCCTGGAATTTGCGAGCGGGATGCGAAATTTCAGCAACGCGTATTTTCCGGTGCCCGCCTGCCCCCGGCGATTGTCTGAGACGATGTAAAGCAGCGCCATTGCCCTTAGTAGACTCCAACAAAGACCGTTCGGTAGCATTTATTCTGTAGATTATGGAGCACTAAAAAAATGTTACAGGCGTTTTTCCAATGTAGATGGAAGGGCTGACAAATTGTAAAAAAAAATCTTGTTGTTCCAAATTCTACTCGACGTAACCCTAGAATACAAAGCTATCTTGCTAACAGATATGAGTGTAATCGGCAAGTTGGATGACCCCTATGAGCAAAAACCCTTATGAAAAAATAAAATAACCCTTCTTTCATGCTCTGAAGCTCGCCAGTGGTCGAAATGTTGATGATCTTGGTTCGCAAGGAAACTCCGCTCATAGAGGTTTTTAAAGACGCTCTTTATAAAAACCGTGTTCTCTGTCAAGTACAGCGTCTTTTTCAAGAGATATGGTGGGGTAATTGTAACGGAGTCACGAAAGCTCGTAACTTTGCCTGCACTTCTCGCGTATCTGTCATAAATCTTGCCTGCTTGCTCTTCTAAATCAAAGTTACTGAGAACTGTGCTACCGAAGGGTGCATGACTCAGCCTCCAGTATATAAAGATAGCCGAGTTACAAACCTACGAAAACACGTCCTCATGCATTTTGCCCAAAATGTAATGAGCGCATACTTCGTCGAAATTCCACCGTGACTTGTTATGACGGTCTAAATGCAAGTATTATGTTCACTTGTTTGAAGGATCCCATTGTACTGAATATGGTGGTTGAGTGTGCTTTAGCTGCTTAGTTGAATCAGCTTCGTGTCTAAAGCTCAGATCTATCTAACTATCAAATTCAACGCAGGAAGATCCATTGAGCGATGTGAACAGATTTGATCATTGTGTTGTAGGACCACTCGCGGTGGAATTTCGACGAAGTATGCGATCTTTACATTTTGGGCAAAATGCATGAGGATCTGTTTTCGCAGGCTTGCAACTCGGCGATTTTTATAGACTGGAGCTTAAGACATGCACCATTCGATGGTATACTTCCTATTAACTTTAACCTTTATAAGCAGTCAGGAGTGCTGATAGATACGCGAGAGGTGCAGGCGAAGTTACGAGCTTTTGTGACTCCGTTACAGTTACCCTCACCATATCTCTGCAATAAGACCCTATACTTGACAGAGAACACGATTTTCGTAAGCGTGTTCGAAAACCTCTATGAGCGGAGTTTCCTTCCAAACCACTATCATAAACATTTCGACCAAAACCCACTCGCGAGCTTCAAAGCGTGAAACGAGAAAAAACCAAATAGCTCAAAGTTCTCTGAAAATTTGCTCATAGACGTTATCCGACCTGCTGATCACAAAGCTCATATCTGCTTGGCAAGATAGCTTCGTATTCTAAGATTACGACGAGTAGAATTTGGGACGGCAAGATTTTGTTTTACATTTTATCAGCCCTTCTATCTCCAATGAAAAGATGCTTGTGATTTTAGCCCTACATAATCTACAGAATAAGTACTACCGAATAATCCTTGCTGGAGTCTATAAGGGCAATGCGCGCTGCTTTACACCTGTGCGAAAAGACGTCCACAGAAAGATTTGAGAATACTGAAATCGGAATATCAAGGACATGCTGTACAGCGAAAGATTTGCCTTAATGAACTGAGCACAAAGCTTTTTTCGGATTCAGAATATATTCATTCCGAAGAAAGTTACGGCGAGTAGAATTTAGAAACGCTTGATTTCCCCAAAATTCACCAGCTTCTATCTCTTTTGGAAGACGGTCCGCAGAAAAAATTGAGAAAATTGGAAACGGAATATCGAGGGCATGCTGTACATCAAAAAATTTGCCTTGACGATCTGAACACAATGCTCTTCCGGATTTGAAATATATTTATTGCGAAGGAAGGTATGACGTTGCGTATTCTGCGTGATTCCCATGATTCCGCGGATCCTAGAATGTCGCGAACCTCCAGGAATATCGCGGACGTCGGCGGAAATCCCGGAATTTCGCGAAGTTCACGGAGATTTTGACATTCTGTGGGCGGTATTGTGATCTTGAGCAGATCTTAGAACAAATTCGATCAAACTGACTCTACCATACTCCTACAGTATACTTTCTATATGTCATCAGCTACGAATCAATGACAATACTGTTATGAACACACTGAACAATTCAACCAAGCAAAAATGTGCAAAATTGAGCGCAAACTTACGTGTAGCGTATATCTATCATATCCTGCTAGATATCTATAAACAGATGAGGCGTCTCGCCGAGCTGAATCGAACGGTGTCCTCGCATTCAGAATTCGTTCATTCTGAAGCGAGATAGGCGATGCGACGCGGATTCCGACGGACTCTAGTAATGTGCAGCGCACTCCACTGCTCTTTGGCGGACTCTAGTGGAGTGTGACGCACTTTGCCGCACTCCGGCGCACTGCTACACACTCCGGCGGACTGCAGTGCAGTGCGACGCACTCCGCTGCACTCTAGTGGACTGCGTCGCAGTCCGGCGACTTTTTTGACGAATTATGAGCGGTATTGTACAAGGACCAGAACAGATGTACTGAAGACAAACTAGACTTTTTTCTGAGACTAGTGAAGGGATATTGTAGAACATGTCAAACAAATGTACACTTAAATGACCCCAACAAGATCACCTTTGTGTTGTTACATGGTAAACACGCTCCACCGTGCTCTCTTTCACAAGCGCGCTAGTTTTGAAGTGATGTCAAATCAAACGGATGGCTTGCTCACAACGCGAATTGACCTTATGACACCAAATCTGTAACATACGCACACTTTACTTCGTACATTATCTTAAAAAGCATTATTTCAAAAAATTCTAGAAACTTATGTTACCCAATGTCTGTTCTCAGTTTGATAGTTTAAACCAGTGTCAACAAGAGGTGTAGCACACGACCGCCGGAAACGACCCCTCACCGCTTGCTCATGCATGTCATAAAGGCTCTACCGAGCATAATTAGTAATATATTCTTAATTACTACGAAAATTAACTTCTGTGGCCCAAGTTTTAGCGAATTTTGAGGGATTCCAATGTTATCGAACCACGCGAAGTGGTTATTTTTAGACACGGTTAACATTATTTCAAAGGTAATTTAGCTACCCCTTTTGCACTCAGACAAAGCACCACTCCCTTTTTGCCCACATCAT